TCATCATCGCCATCACTCCTGTCACTGGCGTGTAGCCTTCAGCACAAACTAACTCCCCGTCAACGGAGAGTGAAAGCAAATGGAGAAATACAGGGCCGCTACACCACGCACAGCCACCGCACAATAAGAAACGATGGCAGCAGCAACAAAAACACCATGAGACAGTTGGAATCGGCAGTGCTCCCGGAAACAATGAAGGAAAATAATTCGGCAGGACTTTTATTTCATTTGCCATGCGGCGCAATATAGACGAACGTGTGTTTGTGTATACATATTCCTTGGAAAAAATGGTAGAAGCAAAACAATCTAGAAGAGATCGTACTGTTCCACGAGCCCACACAACATCCCTCACATTTCATTGCGGCATCCGGCCTGTTCCTCCAATCCTCCTTTCGTGCAGTCCGTGGGACACACGGCAATGAGACCGGCACAGCGACTGGACAAAAAGAGAAAAAACACAGAAAACACGTCGCACATAATGCCGTGTAGAGCAGTTAAACAGCCGAAGAGAAAGCACAAAGGTAAGTATTATTCCAATAAAACACAAACAGCAAAAGAAGAAAGGAAACAAGCAAAAAAACTTGGAATGAGGCCCTTGACAAAATTCGGTCAGAAACTAGCGATGAAGTCGCACCTTGTCGCGTTGCTGGGCTCTGGTTGCATATAGGAACTCCGCTGCGCTGCGTTGCGGCGAGCACGACGGGGAAGAAGACGACTCCACCCCTCGAGAAGGTTCCGCGCCATGCCCGGTGCGGGGAGGTGAAGCGGTCTGCCTGCAGACTGTTGGACAAAACTGCACGACCGTTTCGCTGCGGTCATTCCGTTGATATCACCCGTGGCGGTGACGTCCACAAGAATTCCGGCCCCGAGGTGGATGGCTACATCACTATTTGGCAGCGTAACATTGCAGGCCTCTCTTCCGCTAAAAATATTGCGTTTGCTGTGCGATGGGAGCTGCCCCAACCTGACATCGTTCTTCCCCAGGCAAAAAATAATCGAAGCGCCACAGCGGCAGAATTATCCGGCTGTAATGGCTTTCTTCGCGCCGCACTGGGCGCGGTGGTGGCGTTGCCATTCGGGTGCGCCACTCTCTGCCGTGCGAGCGCCCGACGCTCCCCGTCAAAGACCTCCTGGAGACCATTACTGTCCGTGTATTTCCACAGGGCTGTCCCAGCACCTGCGTGGTGAATCCCCACAGCCCTCCCTCAGCAACCTTTAAGAGCTCTTCGTTTATTAGCACCATTCGTCGCTTAGGCCCCGCAGCGATTATCGCGGGTAAACTGAATTTACATCATGGACTCTGGGACAGACACCTACCTTCAACGACTGGAGGAGAAAACTTCGTTGCTATTTTAATTGATTTCAATTTTGAACTGGCAAATGACCCGGCGCAGGCAACACGGATCACACATCTTAATGCCTCGTCCCCTGACGTGACTGCGTATCGCGTGCTACGTGCCACCCACTGGCAATCCACTCCCTACATGGATTCGGACCACTGCTTAATATCTTACTCGGTGGGATGGATGATGGCATTCCGCGACTAGCCAACACGCTGCCTAGGCGGGAGAAAGCCACCTCTGCCCTGTGTAAGGCGGATTGGCCTGCTTTCACCTCGTTGTGTGAAACCCTCCTTGCCACCGCGTCCACATGGTTGGACATCTGCGGAGATATCTTACGAGCAGCTAAGCGCCATACCCCGCGCGGCAGCCGTGACACCCCAAAACAATCTGGACAAACAAAATGGAACAAGCCGAGTCCGCCGCAGAAGCAGCACACAAAGCACACACATCGCCTCACCAGGAGACAGCCTGCTTCGAGCCGAATTTACTTGAAAAAGAGAAACAAAATCAACCCTTACGCCGGGACTTCGCTACGCTTCTGGAAGCCCGTGTGGAAAAACTTGGGGCTTCATACAGCCCAAGCTGGCGATATCTTCGCGGCGTGGCGGCGCCGCACCCTCAGATCCAAAAGGCACGTCCCTCGCCACAGCCGCGATCGACTTCGCCCTGTCGGCACGCATCGCTTTGTCAGAGGAGCAGGAGTACGCCAGGCTGGCAGCAAAGCACCCGCTGGCACAACACATCACAAACATCATCACAACCAGAAGCACCAGCAGCACTGCAGACCGTGGGGTGACGTGGACCAACTGACACATGCTGTACGTGAAGGAAGGCACTCCATGGTTTGAAAAGAATAAGAAACACTGACAATATCTCAAAAAAAAAGAAAAAAAAAGATAAAAATAGAAAATAATACGTCCGCAGTCAAAGCAAGCCAATAATCGATAAAAAAAAAAAGGTAATGGGCGCACCAAACCACGACACAAGTAAAACAGCAAAAAACGAAAAGCCGAAGCGTGGGACGACCAGCGCACACACTCTCACTGCTCCCGTAAAGCAAAACACACACACAGGGAGAGAGAGAGAGAGAGGTCGCCCACTCAATGCAATAAAAACAAAAACTGTTACGGTGCTCCGCCCATGCAGCCAGGCAGGACGGCAGCGGTGCGTGTGGTGCAAAAGAGAGCACCAACGGGCATGCATGGGTGTGCATGCAATATATACAATGGGCACATTATGTGTGTGCTTCGTGGGGTGAAGTGAGGGTGAGAATCCATGCAAGGGGACACACACACAGAGAAGGACGAGTGTGTGTGCGGGCGCTGGACGGCTCTCTCTCACTCACTCTCACGCGGCCACCACCGCAGCAGCAGCGGCCGCAACAAGAAGAAGCAAAAGAGGGGAAGTGGTGTGGGAGACAGCGGTGCCGCCGTCACTGTTGACATCCTTCGACTTATCGCCAGTTTGTGGTTTATTTGTTGCTGCGGCTTCCGGAGGTTGGACATCCTCAGTTGTCTTCATCCCAGTGAATGTTTCCTTTTGAAGTGGAGAAGGAATTCCATTTGGATGCGAAGCCGGTGCTTCTTCGTGAGTGGCAGTGGATGTCCTCTGCGCTTTAACTGGGCTGGATGCTGGATTTTCGTTATTTTTTTCTTGGACATGTTCTGTTTCTTGCGCATCAGGCAAATTCTTAGATATATCGGTGTTGTGGCTGTCATTCCCCTCTGTTTCTGGTGTTTTTATTCCATGTGAAGTCTGGGGCTCCGGCTTTATTACGTTTACTAATTCCAGTTGGGCCTTTGCACTGCCTTGTGATTCTGTATTCAGATCCTCTGATGATCCTGCTGTTTGGTGAGTCTCTGATTCCAAGTCTTTTGTCTTTTGTTCTTCCAAAAAGGATGGACCTTCGCTTCCCGGCGTAGCGATACTGCCAACAATATCACCTTTTGCTGCCTTTTCATTGGATAATGAGTGACGTTGAGCCCCTGTTTCTTCAGTTGACAAAACCTCTTTAGGGGATGTACTCTGCGGATTGGATAGAGTACTGCCTGTGGTCCCCCTGTCACCATCACCGTGGGGTGAAGAAATAACTCCAGGTAAAGGGGAATCCAAAGAATCCTTAACACCACCAACAGATGCACTAGTAGAACCAGCATGACTTTCAGCAGATGGTGGTTGATGTGGTGATGGTTCATGCGATGTTGGTTGATTTCTGTTCTGTTCTCCATCTTGTATTACGTGCGTCTTCTTTTCTTCCTTTTGTTCTTTCGGCAGGCCTTCTTCTTCTTCAGATTCCGAAAGATTTCCTGAAGGTTCTTCTTGAAGTGCTTCATCTCCATTAACAACATTTCCTTCAGAAGAGCTTCCTTCTTTTGCTTCCGAAGATTCTTTTGCAGGTAGGTGTTTTGATTTTTCATCCTCTTTTGGTTTTGATATTAAACTTGGGGAGCCCGATGCTGGGGATAAAGCTTTTGATTCTGTCGGGGGACTCTCACCACTCGAAGGAGCACCGGATAAATTGGCAGGAGTTGTCTCCTTCTCCTCGTCACATCTACCGCCAGAAGTACCGCACCACACCACGCAGAGGGCACACACCAGCAGCACACGGCCAGTCATCATCATCGCCATCACTCCTGTCACTTGCGTGTAGCCTTCAGCACAAACTAACTCCCCGTCAACGGAGAGTGAAAGCAAATGGAGAAATAAAAGGCCGCTACACCACACACAGCCACCGCACAATAAGAAACGATGGCAGCAGCAACAAAAACACCATGAGACAGTTGGAATCGGCACGACTCCCGGAAACAATGAAGGAAAATAATTCGGCAGGACTTTTATTTCATTTGCCATGCGGCGCAATATAGACGAACGTGTGTTTGTGTATACATATTCCTTGCAAAAAATGGTAGAAGCAAAACAGTCTAGAAGAGATCGTACTGTTCCACGAGCCCACACAACATCCCTCACATTTCATTGCGGCATCCGGCCTGTTCCTCCAATCCTCCTTTCGTGCAGTCCGTGGGACACACGGCAATGAGACCGGCACAGCGACTGGACAAAAAGAGAAAAAACACAGAAAACACGTCGCACATAATGCCGTGTAGAGCAGTTAAACAGCCGAAGGGAAAGCACAAAGGTACGTGTTATTCCAATAAAACACAAACAGCAAAAGAAGAAAGGAAACAAGCAAAAAAACTTGGAATGAGGCCCTTGACAAAATTCGGTGAGCCCCAGCGATGAAGTCGCACCTTGTCGCGTTGCTGGGCTCTGGTTGCATATAGGAACTCCGCTGCGCTGCGTTGCTGCGAGCACGACGGAGACCAAGATGACTCCACCCCTCGAGAAGGTTCCGCGCCATGCCCGGTGCGGGGAGGTGAAGCGGTCTGCCTGCAGACTGTTGGAAAAAACTGCACGACCGTTTCGCTGCGGTCATTCCGTTGATATCACCCGTGGCGGTGAAGTCCACAAGAATTCCGGCCCCGAGGTGGATGGCTTCATCACTATTTGGCAGCGTAACATTGCAGGCCTCTCTTCCGTAAAAAATATTGCGTTTGCTGTGCGATGGGAGCTGCCCCAACCTGACATCGTTCTTCCCCAGGCAAAAAATAATCGAAGCGCCACAGCGGCAGAATTATCCGGCTGTAATGGCTTCCGTCGCGCCGCACTGGGTGCGGTGGTGGCGTTGCCATTCGGGTGCGCCACTCTCTGCCGTGCGAGCGCCCGACGCTCCCTGTCAAAGACCTCCTGGAGACCATTGCTGTCCGTGTATTTCCACAGGGCTGTCCCAGCACCTGCGTGGTGAATCCCCACAGCCCTCCCTCAGCAACCTTTAAGAGCTCTTCGTTTATTAGTACCATTCGTCGCTTAGGCCCCGCAGCGATTATCGCGGGTGAACTGAATTTACATCATGGACTCTGGGACAGACACCTACCTTCAACGACTGGAGGAGAAAACTTCGTTGCTATTTTAATTGATTTCAATTTTGAACTGGCAAATGACCCGGCGCAGGCAACACGGATCACACATCTTAATTTCCCGTCCCCTGACGTGGCTGCGTATCGCGTGCTACGCATCACCCACTGGCAATCCACTCCCTACATGGATTCGGACCACTGCTTAATATATGACTCGGTGGGGATGGATGATGGCATTCCGCGACTAGCCAACACGCTGCCTCGGCGGGAGAAAGCCACCTCTGCCCTGTGTAAGGCGGATTGGCCTGCTTTCACCTCGTTGTGTGAAACCCTCCTTGCCACCGCGTCCACATGGTCGGACATCTGCAGAGATATCTTACGAGCAGCTAAGCGCCATATCCCGCGCGGCAGCCGTGACAGCCCAAAACAATCTGGACAAACGAAATGGAACAGGCCGAGTCCGCCGCAGAAGCAGCACACAAAGCACACACATCGCCTCACCAGGAGACAGCCTGCTTCGAGCCGAATTTACTTGAAAAAGAGAAACAAAATCAACCCTTACGCCGGGACTTCGCTACGCTTCTGGAAGCCCGTGTGGAAAAACTTGGGGCTTCATACAGCCCAAGCTGGCGATATCTTCGCGGCGTGGCGGCGCCGCACCCTCAGATCCAAAAGGCACGTCCCTCGCCACAGCCGCGATCGACTTCGCCCTGTCGGCACGCATCGCTTTGTCAGAGGAGCAGGAGTACGCCAGGCTGGCAGCAAAGCACCCGCTGGCACAACACATCACAAACATCATCACAACCAGAAGCACCAGCAGCACTGCAGACCGTGGGATGACGTGGATCAACTGACACATGCTTTACGTGAAGGAAGACACTTCATGGCTTGACAAGAATAAGAAACACTGACAATATCTCAAAAAAAAAGAAAAAAAAAGATAAAAATAGAAAATCATACGTCCGCAGTCAAAGCAAACCAATAATCGATAAAAAAAAGGTAATGGGCGCACCAAACCACGACACAAGTAAAACAGCAAAAAACAAAAAGCCGAAGCGTGGGACGAGCAGCACACACACTCTCATTGCTCCCGTAAAGCAAAACACACACACAGGGAGAGAGAGAGAGAGGTCGCCCACTCAATGCAATGGAAACAAAACAGAAACAGTTACGGTGCTCCGCCCATGCAGCCAGGCAGGACGGCAGCGGTGCGTGTGGTGCAAAAGAGTGCACCAACGGGCCTGCATGGGTGTGCATGCAATACATACAATGGGCACATTATGTGTGTGCTTCGTGGGATGAGGTGAGGGCGAGAGTCCATGCAAGGGGACACACACACAGAGAAGGACGAGTGTGTGTGCGGGCGGTGCATGGCTCTCCCACTCACTCTCACGCGGCCTCCACCGCCGCCGCCGCCGCACATGCAAAAACAAGAAGAAGAAGCAAAAGAGGGGAGGTGGTGTGGAAGGCCGCGGTGCTGCCGTCGCTGTCTTCAGGCGGCGCCGTGTCATTTTTTCTGGAGGTGGTGACTGTTTCCGCTGTTTGTATTGCTGCCTCACTGACTGTAGGAGCGACGTTGGTGTTGCCAGCTTCGGCGTCGTCCTGCGGTCTGTTGGGTTTGGGCTGCCGAGCATCATCCTCATCCTCCTTATTCTGGACATCGCCATTTTCATTTGCAGAGATGGATTTTGCTGTTGTTTCCGCTAAACCGCCGGCAGATGCTTTTTTCGTCGTATTCAATTGCGTTGTGACTTTATCTTTTTGCTCTTGCATACCATCCTTTGAAGGACGGTCCGGTGATTCGGACCCCGTTTTGTTGGGTGACGATGCCTTGTTCTGCATTTCTCTTTTTGAGGCCTCTGAGGCTCTTGGTGCTGTTGGTAGACCTCCTTCTCCGTCTGGATTTGCCTGTACAGGAGTTACTGGTGGCACTTCTGGGGATAGTTCTGCTGATGGAACTGGCAGTAGTACTGCCGGTGTTTGTGGTAATAATAGCGTTTTTTCTACTGTTTGGTCGCCGGTGTTAGCAAACGAACTGGAAGGATCTTCCGTCTCCACGTCACTTTGCTTTGCCTTG